ATTCGGCTTTAGTCCACTTCCCTCTTTTTCTTTTTTTGGTTGCTTGCACTTGGGCATTTGGTTCTGTTTCTTTTTCTGACTGGTTTTGTGTTCCACTTTTGACTTGGCGTTGTTTTTCAGGTTTTGGTTCACTTTCATTTATAACTTTCATTTTCCCATCAGCGGCTTGTGACTTTCCTCCTCCTCCTCCTTCAGGTAGTGGTGTTGGTGGTATTTCTTCCCCATCCGCATCCTCATCCTCATCTTCTGCTTGCCCTTCTGCTCTGATTGGGCTTTCAGGTGGTGATGTGACCACACTTTGCTGGTTGGTGCTGTTTCCTGTTTGTGCACCCAACGATGCTTTTGCGTTTTCGGGACCTCCCTTGACTGAAACTGGCATTGCCTGCAGTCCAGCACTACCGACACCAGCATCAGGTCCTGAACCCCCGGAATTTTCATCCTTTTTCTTTTCGGCATCTTTCTCACCATTGGCCGACGCGGCACCGCACCACAGCACGCAGAGGGCACACACCAGCAGCACACGGCCAGCCATCATCGCCATCACTCCTGTCACTTGCGTGCAGCCTTCACTAAAAACTAACAACACGTCAACGCAGAGTCAAAGGAGAGAGACAAGTCACACAGCCACGCACCGTCCCATCCAGCAATGAGAGCCACGCACAACAACAGCAACAATTGGGTGGGCGCGGTTAACAACAATAATAAAAAAAGAGGAGCGCTCCTCGCCGTGCACCGTTCCTCACACTCCCACAGTCACTGTTGCTGTTATTCCCTCTCCTCAGGCCCTCACAGACACGCCACGCTCACTTCAACACGCGCCCCTCCAGCACAGGTAGTCCGTCATGCGCTCCCGCTGCGCCACAACGTCCGCCACCTCCTCCCTCAGTCCAGCAGCTCCGTGACCTCCACATCCCTCACAATCGCCGGCACGCCCCGGCCGCGCAACACACACAGCACCACAACGTCGTGCCGCCTCTCCTCCACAATCATGAGCGCTACGTCCAACACGTACTGGCGCACGTGCTCCATGCGCTGCAACCACACGCGGATCAGGTTGGCCGTCATGTACTGCGTCTCGTGGTCGTCCTTCAGCAAACCCTCACATCCTCTCAATCCACGGCTTGGGTGCTGCGAGAGGCTGCCGAGTGGTGCCACGTGTGTGGAGGAAGCAAATGTGCGGAAACAACGGCCACCCTCACTCCATCACACATCCCCACAACCTTCACTGTCCCGCACACCCACAAGGGCGGTGTCATGGGGAAGAGAAGACCGCCGCACAGCGCATGCACGAGGACACATGCAATAGCAACGCCATCCACGTCGCACCGCGAGATGGAGCCATGCGCACACACATGGCGGCAACGAGGGAAAGGGCGCATCCAACTCCACGGCGCTGTCCTTCACTTCTCTCTGCCCCGACGGATTGGCACCCACACTCACAGTGAGGCACGGCGCACACCATCTTCTACCCTCCGAGTGCACTCAGCAGGCCGGCGCCCAGTCACCCTCGTGCCATCGCAATGGGGAACACAAACAATCGTCGTCGCGGAACATCGATGCCTCTAGCAGGAAAAAAGAAAAAAGCATGTCAACAGCACGGCCAGCAGTGGGACACTCAACGGGAAGCAGAGACGCAAAGTGACAGCAGATACGGTAACTACAGAAACAAGCCGCAGGGATCAAAGAAACAATAAAAAAGACGAGAGTCCGGCATGACTCCCAAAAGCAACAAATTAATGGAAAAATTGATTTTGCAGGACTTTTATTTCATGTGTCGACCACAACAATACGGCTGTGTGTTTGTGTGTATACATATTGCCCGCACCAAGAAGGAGAAGGCAAATTAAAATAAATAAAAACAGATCGCATTATTATTTCACCAGCCCACACAACATCCCCAACATTTCACGCGGCATCCGGCCTGTTCTTCCAATCCTCCTTTCGTGCAGTCCGTGGAAGACACAGCCGCGGGGCCGGCGCCACGTGTGGGCGAAAAGAAAAGCAAGCAAGAGCGGGAAACACTTCGCTCATTACAGTGTGCATCAGCCGGACATTACGTAAAGGAAAAACAACAGTACTTATTACTACATCTGAACTGCATTAAAAAGACATTTAAAAGTAAAAACATTGAAGAAATAAAAGATAAGTAAAAAAGCGCGGGCAATGCAGCATGTATTCTAGGTGAGAAGCCGCGGATCCACACACTGTGGCTCAGAAGACTGCCACCACCCAAACACAATCCCATTAGAAGCAGCAACACACAAGACACGCACACACGCACGGTGTTGTTGCCGCCTAAATCACGCAGTGTCAATTTCACTTCGTTGAGAGAGGCGAGGCGTTCGTCGGGACTCACGCCGCTCCAGACCCTGAAAGGCGACTGTTTGTAGTGGGGATTCGTGTCCAGGGGCATTGCGTTGTGTCCATTCATTTCTCTTCGGTAATATCCCCAGCAACGTGCTCACTGACGCTGTCAACTACTCGAATCCTCTCGGGCGGTGTCGGGGCCGCTTCTCTCGTCGGAACGGGGACGCTGTCCTTGAGTGCACGCATCGCAGTGAAGTTCAGTGGGCGGCTGCACAGAAAGACGTCCGTCACCGTCAAACGAGATTCGTGCCCACCGCACGCAACAAAGCGAACCCTCAGTACCTCAGGTGGCCTCTGGCCTTTCAACAGCACCTCTTCCTCCCCCAGCGACCGACCATCAATGTGCACAGAGGTCTTGTTGCATTGCAGCATGAGTCCCACTTGGTATTCTTTCCTCGGCTCCCAATTGCTGCTCCGTGTTGTTGTCTTGCCTTCGAACGCCGTCTCCCACTTCTTATTGTGGCTGCACGACAGTCCCACGGTATGATTGGACGCAGTGTGCGCCAGCACCGCAGTCAGTGAAGGAGTGTTCCCACTCGGAGTCACTTCGATGGTCACCGACGCCGCAAGTGTGAAGTCGTGGCTCAAAGATACATGACGCACTTTATCACTCCGAGTGTTCACAGGCCATATTGCCCTGGACTCAAGTCCAGTCAATTGTAACCCATCGCTGTCCTTCACTGCATTCCTTCACCGTTGCATGCAGGCAACGGTACTCGTCGTTCCACGTGTCATCACTGGCGGCATCGGACAAATCACTGCCACCAGACACGCCGTGGGTGTAGACAAGCTGGAGAAGAAAATGTCCTTTTGCGCCCAGGTACTGAGGACGGAATTGATTGCACTCAGTTCCTCCGTCAGGCGGGAAAGTGAGATGACACGGCATTCACCGTTGCCCCTCCGTCGTAAAAGATGCAAATTGCCATCCGAGTGCAGCAGGGTGCTGGCGAGCACCAATCCGCAGCATTGTCCACGGCAACCGGTCCAAAAGAAAACGTGCGGTTGCTGTCCGTGATCCAAAGGCAGAGCGCAGTGGCCCTTTCCTTCCCCGAGGCATGCCCTCTCTGAGTGCACAGCATGACCCTCCTTCCTTTCCTCAATGGTCGCGGTGATGAGGGCATCCACACGCAGGCTTCCTTCTGCGAGACTCCTGATCGTGCGTTGACCCACACGGCTGAGAGTGCCCCAATGGCCTCCGTCCACGCTGTCCCCATGTCACGCGACCCGTGCACCCTCTGGCCATTCTCGCAGTCAACAATCATGAGAAGTGATCCCTCCCATTCGGTGACGCGGGAGGTTTCGCATTCCGGAGGGGAAATGTCCTCAGAGAGCGCCCAGGCACTGCCGCTGTACGTCGAGCAAATGATCATGGAGCAAACGTCTTCTGCCTCATTCACCACCATCAGAGGAAACACAAACGTGCCATCCTCCATCACAACACCTGCGCCACCAGAAGCAACGAACTCCGTCCAGTCACCTTCGTGAGAAGCAGAAGAGATCCGTTTCGAGAGTGGTTTGGGGTCGCCCCATTCGATCCGTCCACTCTGCTTGCCACACGTGGGATTCGTGACATCGCCCACAACCAGTTTCAGCTCCAAGCCGCCCTCTCTCCAACACACACCTTCGTAGGACACATCAGAGCCTCCCGCAAGAGGAAACGCTCCGTTGCCCTTCGTAGTTGTTGTGCGGCGGAGCACAACACCCAAACTCTCCTTTCCCTCCGCTGCACCAAGCACAGTGTGTGCCCTCTATGCATCCTTTTATTGACCTCACCAACAACAGTGGACCAATCCCACGAAGAGTCAATGCACCTCGCAAGAACATCAGAAGAAAAGAGCCTACTTAATTGACCACCTTGATATTCGGCATCCGTGTGACCCTCGACGAAAGCAGCAATTACTCCACCAGCACTGACAGGAGAGGGTGAGGCAAACGAATCCCTCGTCGTAACTGGAACAATCCCATCCTTCGACTACACCAGCGTCGTCTGCGGCACAAAAGGATCGACTCCCCGCCCTGAATTTGACACCACAACGGATTGCACAGTGTTGCAGCACATCCCCATCACGACGAGGAGAAGCACCGCTGAAGTAATGACACGCCGGGACATGTTGGGCCTCTGCGGCTCACTCTCTCTTCCTTCCCTCCTCCTGCCGCTGGATCCGGTCACGCGGCGACGGTTGTGTGTGCGGGGTGCCTTCACTGCAGCAACACGTGAGTGCATATAAATATGTGTATGTGGGCGGTGTGTGTGCTGTTGGTCCTTTCAGCGCCTTCAAAGTTCACAGTAGCGATTGGCGCTTGGTCGTAGCTCCCTTCCTAGCCTGAGTGTGTTTGTGTGCAAGAAATCAAATTAAAATATAAAAAGCATCAAAAATGAACGTGGCAAAGAAGTGGGTGGCGCCACCATTCACGGCGTAACACATCCGCTTCGTCGTAACCGCCACAGTAATTACCCTCACCGTCCACAACGGACCAAAAAATGTGAGGCCACACACAGAAGCAGAGAAGTTGACGGTTGCGCACGGGCCAAGACGCCCTCCGGCAAACGGCACCAACCAACAGACAGAGAGGAGAAATTAAGTGCAAGCAGAATCCCAAGTGCTGCGGGATCCTTGCAAGCACCGCTCCCTCACTGTAGAACCTTTAAAGCGTTCCTCGCTGCAACATCCCCCACCACCCCTCGACGTGTCGGTGGATTTTCCCGTTCACCGGAAGAAAAACGGCGGGATGCTCCGGCAGTGGTCGAAGACACACAGAGCGCGCCGTCGACGCGATCAACGGGCGCGGACCCTCGTGAAGTGCGATCCCACAACCGCGATCCCTCCATCTACTCTCCTGGACGTGGAGGAGGCATAAAATGTCCTCCTTTCTACAGTAGTCCTGAAACGCAAAAAAAATCCGCAGGACATCCCGCGCAGCCGCGGCCTCCTCAGCAGCCCGACAGTCCACGCCGCCGCACCGCTCCTCAAGAGGTCGCCAGGCCCGGTAAAGCAAGCAAAAGGAGAACAGCAATTTGGTCAGGGCGCTCAGAAAAGTGAGGCGCAGCGGTCGGGTAGGCGCGGCCCATCCACGTCCTCCCCTCAACGGACCCACCACACAGTCGAATCACACACCCGAAAAGAGCCGTGGCGTCTAACGAAATAGCACGCGCAATAGCACCTCGTGCTCTCC